GTCGGGGTGAGGGCCTTCCCCGCTCCTCACGACGTTGGTCGTGCCACAGCACATAACGGCAGCCGGCTGCCTTGGTGCCCGGCCTACCCCTCCTGGCTGCGGAGGCCGTGCAAAAACTGGGTTACAGGGAGAGGGATGCTCTACTAGGAGACAGCTAAGCGGCTTTCTTTTTTTTACATTATTTGGAAAAAGGCAGTTACACCAGTAGGAAATATGCCATGCACCGCACCTTTACTAGGAACTGCTGGTGCAGCCTCAGCAGGTGGAAGCTAAGCTGGAGCACAGGGGCTCCCCGGGACACTGGAACACCCCACTGCCATCGCTGTCTCTTGCACTCCGGCAGCTGTGGCGGCTGGCAGATTGCTGGTCGCTTTCCAAAAATAACCAGTAGCCAGTTGTGCAAAAATTGAAGAGTGCATGGCGTGTTTGTTTGTTGAAATGTTTAGTTTTAACCAGCCCGTACCTGGTCAACTGAATTTGTTTATGAAGGCCAACCCGATTCTTCTGTTTTACAGTTTTAAGCTCAGACAGCTAATTAACATGTGAAAAGTACATAGTGACCGTCCTGCTTCTGTAGGTTTAATTAGCCCGATTAAGATCTTTTGGGCGTTCTGACAGAGTAATCTTACACACCTGTTTGAATTGTTGGCTCAGACTATAATTAACATAGTTTCTTAGTCCTTTTGAACAGAAAAGATCTTTGCGAGTTGAATTGTCACGCTCCTTAGTCCCCGTAGTCATGCGGCATCTGGATTGTTAAGATGTGTCATGTTGCTGTTATTTTAGAAATACTGAGCAGCTATTCATCTTGGTCTTTATTTTGAACTATCACAAGAGGGCGCTCACCTAAAGCTAAAAGTGCACGATTATGCATGTGCTCCCTTTTTTTTTTGTCGTGTTTTTCCCACTCCAATGTTTCGACGTGGTGCTGAGATATATACTATAAACAGATGACAAAGCATGCTCTGTGGATTAGAAGGATAGAGACAAAAGTGTTAGCATGAGGAAAATGATCCCACTTATTTGCATGATTTCATTGTTAGTAATTTTAATCCAGGTGGCTAATTGAGAGTCTTAGCTACTCAGAATTAAAATTAATAGTTTGTTAATAACCATGATGATGATGTGTATTTTGTTTATTTATGAGCTGCCATAGTGTTTGAACTCTGCACTACTGAAGATTGAGGCAATGTAGAAACTTCGTTCGATCAAGACCTGTGAGCCAAGTTACAGAATTCTTGTTGCAGTAGATGAAAACTAAGTTAGCTGTATTTAGACATACACTAGCATGTGTAGATTAATCCCTAAACCAGAAAAAAGAACTAATGAGTTACTTCTTGTTTAGTTTATTAAAAAGAAAGAACTTTCAAACCTTTTAGAAACCCATGGATGAACTATTTGACAGAACATTATTGAAACAGCCACAACTCACTCATAACTAATGAAGCTAAAGGGAGATGTAGTCTTCCTTAATGTTTTGCTAGGCAAAATTTAGATTTAAAATCTCCCGGTTTAGTCTGATCTTTTTGTTTGCTTCACACAGGAATTAACATTGGTATAATTTTCTGTATGGAAAATGATATCTAATTGCTGTAGCCTCCATACACTTGTTTACTGGGCGTAAAATGGCTATTCATCTGGAGTCACAGTTGGCTGAATATGTTCACTTTTAATAGAAAGGAATGGAAACAGAAATGCAAGTGTGAACAGATTTTATCAAGCGTTACAGATATTAATAGTTACATAAGTAAATGACACTCACCTTAGTTCCAAAGTCCACTGGCTGGCAGGTAACCTGAGACAAAACAAACACAAGTCAAGCATTTCAGTAGGGCTTTATTTTGTCGGTAACCAAGCATAGTAAATTTCTTTCCCTGATGTGGGTAATGTACAGAATAAATCCTTATACCATGAGCAATTAGGAGAATAACAAGCAATAAATATGTGCAATTACTGTTTTGCTCCCACTGTGATGCAGAATCCCAGTTCTATAGAAGTTCTCCGTGCCTGTACTTTTCTCCCGTATTTCACCAAAATCTTTGAGTACAGCACTGAGGGAAAACCCCTCTGCTCTGGGGAGGCGTGGGGGAAGGCACGCACGGGGGGAAGCCTGAGGCAGCCACTCGGGACTATAGCTGTACTCTCCTCCTTCCAGTTAATTACGGGAGGGGGGGTGGGAATAATGAGAATATAGTCATGTTTGGTTTAGGCTCGCTTTTGGAAATTACCATCACGGTGTCTTTGAAAGTATGGGGAGGGAGAGCAGCTGGCTTAGTGGAACGCGGTGGCCCGCAGACAGGCCAGTTTCGGACCCAGAAATAAAGCGAGTTTGGGGTGCGTTTTTGTTAAATGATGAGCAGTGAAA